GTTTCCATCACTTCAGATAGAGGTACTCAGTTTACATCACGGTTCTGGAGAGTTGTACAGCATGAGTTAGGTACTCGGGTGGAGTTGAGCACAACATTTCACCCCCAGACGGACGGATAGTCCGAGCGCACTATTTAGATTCTTGAGGATATGCTCTATCCGTGTGTGATGGAGTTTGGAGGTTCTTGGGATCAGTTCTTGCCACTTGCGGAGTTTTCCTACAACAACAGTTATCAATCCAACATTCAAATGGCATCGTACGAGGCTTTGTATGGTAGGCGGTGTAGATCCCCGGTGGGTTGGTTCGAGCCAGGCGAGGCTAGATTATTGGGCACAAACTTGGTTCAGGAGGCTTTGGAGAAGGTTAAGGTGATTCAAGATAGACTTCGCACAACCCAGTCCAGACAAAAGAGTTATACGGACAGGAAGGTTCGCGATGTTTCATTTATGGTTGGAGAGCGGGTCTTACTTCGGGTTTCACCTATGAAAAGCGTTATGAGATTTGGAAAGAGGGGCAAGTTGATCCCAAGGTTTATTGGTCCCTTTGAGGTGTTGTGGCGTGTTGGGGAGGTTGCTCATAAGCTTGCCTTACCTCCCGGCTTGGCAGGAGTTCATCCGGTATTTCATGTTTCAATGCTCCGGAGGTATCACGGCGATCCGTCTCACGTGTTGGATTTCAATTCTGTCCAGTTGGACAAGGATCTATCTTATTTTGAGGAGTCAGTGGCAATGTTAGACAGACAGGTTCGAAAGCTAAGGTCAAAGAGCATTGCATCAGTAAAGGTTCAGTGGCGGGGTCAGCCGGTCGAGGAGGCGACTTGGGAGACCGAGTAGGATATGCACAGCCATTATCCTCATCTTTTCACCACTTCAGGTATGTCTCTATGCTCGTTCGAGGACGAACGAATGTTTTAAGAGGGGAAGATATAACGACCTGGCCGGTCATTTTGAGAATTAACGCCCCGATCCCCTATTAACTGCTTCCCCCATCTTTATTTCTACCATTGTGATTTGCCGGGATGGTTCATCTTGAGTTTCGAAGTGTTTTGGGACACTTAGTCCCTAAATGAGAGTTTAAGTCATAGAATTTAGACCGTAGTCGGAGCAGTGTGAAGACGGCCTCGGAATGGAACTCCGTCGATTCTGTTAGCTCCATTGGGTGATTTTGGGCTTAGGGGCGTGTCCGGATTGTGTTTTGGAGGTCCGTATCTTATTTAGGCTTGAAATGGTGAAAGTTGAATTTTTGGAGTTTCGGGGCGATAGTCGAAATTTTGATATCGGGGTCGGAATCTGATTCCGGAAGTTGGAGTAGGTCCGTAGTGTTGAATATGACTTGTGTGCAAAATTTGGGGTCAATCGGACATGGTTTGGTTAGTTTTGGCATCGGTTGTAGAATTTTGGAATTTCAAGTTCATTAAGTTTGGATTGGAGGGTGATTCGTGGTTTTAGTGTTGTTTGATGTGATTTGAGGGCTCGACTAAGTTCGTATGATGTTTTAGGATTGGTTGGTATGTTTGTTGAGGTCCCGGGGACCTCAGGTGAGTTTCGGATGCTTGACGGATGAAAATTTGGACTTAGGCATTTTCTAAAGTTGTTGAACCTGTTAAAATCGCACCTGCGGATGTGGGGCCACAGGAGCGGCTGAGTGGACCCCAGAAACGGAATTGGACTTGGGCATCAGGAACCGCAGATGCAGCCCAGTGATCGCAGAAGTCGGTCCCAGCCCGGTTAAGTGACTTTCGCACCTGTGATGGTTTATCCGCAGGTGCTGGACCGCAGAAGCGGCCCCATGACCAAAGATGCGGAAATCGCTGGGCAGAAAAGAGGAGTTCGAGGGTTTGAGATTTCATAACACAAAATTTGATTTGGAGCTCGGTGGGAGGCGATTTCTTGAGTGATTTTGAAGGAGAGCTATTGGGTAACGAATTCTAACTCTATTTTGGATAATATACATAAATCTATTGTTGTTTTCCTCATTTAATTAAGGAATTTGGGGGTGAAAGTTTGGAAATGGGGAAAAAGTTCCCCAACTGAAAATCTGAAGTTTGAATAGGAATTTGATGTCGGATTGGGATGATTTTTGTACGAGTGAAATCGTGAGTGAATGGGTGTTCGTAATTTGTGATTTTTACCCGATTCCGAGACATGGGCCCGAGGAGGATTTTTGAGTGTTTTCCTATTTTCTCGCCTTAGCTCTAAATTCATTAGCTAAATTAGTTGCTTGTAGCTATATTTACGTTATGTAATTGATTTGATTAGATTTGAGCCACTCGGAGTTGGATACTCGTGGCAAGAGCGTGAAATCGGATTGATTTGAGCTTGGTTTGAGGTAAGTGGCTTGCCTAACCTTGTGTGGGGGAACTCCCCTTAGGATTTTGGTACCGTTGTTATATGAATGTCGTGTACGTGAGGTGACGAGTGTGTACACGTGCTAATTGTTGAAAAACCCCATTTTCATTAAGTAATTAATTGTGTTTTCCTTTAATTGAGTAATACTAGTATACGTAGCCTCCTGTTTAGCTTAGGAAAAGCATGTTTATGTGCCTTAACTGTCTATTCTGCTTTAACTGCTTTACCTGGATTTTGTGTAGCATGCTTAGAGTAAGAATTTCCTGTCTTCTTTGCTACGAATTTGATTAGAACTGTAGATCTTCCTAGTTGGAACTGTTGTGTATTTATTTTGGGACTACAGAACGGTATTCCGCGAGATCCCCCTGTATGTTTATGTTTGGGACTACGGGACGGTATCCCGAGAGATCCCCTTGTACTGGATATTTACTTTGGGACTACGGAACGGTATTTCAGGAGATCCCCTTGCACATTTACGATTTGGACTACGGGACGGTATCCCGGGAGATCTTCTGTACATTTACGTTTGGGACTACGGGACAATATCCCAGGAGATCCCCTGTTGCTATTTCTGTGCACTGAGTTATTTCTTTCTGTGATTTCGTTTTCATTGATTGTTAGCATTTTAACTCTACTGCGATATTTCATACTGTTTTTATCTTATTATATGTATAAACCAGTAGAGCCCTAACCTGATCTCGTCACTACTCGATCGAGGTTAGGCTTGACACTTACCGGGTACCGCTGTGGTGTATTCATGCCTTTTCCTGCACATGTTTTTCGTGTGCAGATCCAGGTTCTTCTTCTCAGCCATACTTCCAGTGAGGTGAGGCGATCCAGAGACTTCGAGGTATATCTGTCGAGTCCGCAGACCTAGAAGTCCCTCTCTATTCTCCCTTCAGTTATAGACTTCCTGTATTTTCTTCGTTATTAGACTTCTGGAGTTAGAAACACTATGTACTTCTTTAGCTTGTGATTCATGAGATTCTGGATTTTGGGAGTGCTATGTTCAGTTCGAGAGTGGTATTATTGTATATGCCGAGCGGCATTTTAAACTCCTTTATTATATTTAGGGAAAAGGTCCAAAATTGCTCCTCTACTATGGTATATAGTTTAAGTTTGTCCCCCATTATACTTTTCGTTCAGATCCACCCCTACCGTTAACAAACTTTCTAGAATTGCCCTTAAACCTAACGGCCCTCCACCGTGGCACCCAATCCCTCTATTAATTTGTCCATGTCAGCTGCCATATCAGCAGGTCCCACGTTAAAATTAACCTATCATCACACACCAGACTCCATGACCTTCATCTTCCTCTTTTAATCCAAAACAAATTCACCATTAAAGTATCATCTATTTTCAACCACCAAAGAATATCATCCGTTTCTCGCTTTCCAGAATATAAAGATCACCCTCATTCGCCCATGAGCTTTTAGCCATTACTCATTTCTCCCACTTTGAGATATGGAAAAAAAATTATTTTAAAATTTCAGGAATCTTCTCCAACCCATATTTTTTCTTTCTCCTCAAACCCACTCCACATCGCTACACCTCGCCAGAAAACGCCCATGAGCAGAAAGATTTTAATGGTAATAAAGTAAATATGAACCAGCCAACAAAAGAAAATCTTCTATGCCCATTTACCCCTCCTCCTTTATCACCCCTAACGAAGATTTGGACGGTATTAATCAGATTTATATTGAGAGGCGGTTGCAACTCTAAATGGAATACAAGTGTTCATGTTCTTAATTTTTGAGTTCATCCGTCCAGTAGCACCACCGTCCCTTGATCCTATTAATTTTATCTCACTCTGAAACCACCATTAAAGCACCATGTAAGCTTATAGCCATCCGCCACAACCTAAAATCGAGCCGCTGCCGAACTCCGCCACCAGAATATTCTAGTAACGACATCCCCAAACAAATCATCATAGCCAATAGCCCCCTTTTCGACCAACGAAAAGCATCACTAGTACAATTTTCGGTAAAATTATAAGGATGAAGAAAATAAAGAAAAGAAAAAGAATAAAAGTAGAAGAACTGAGGTTTGAAAATTTAGAGTTTGGGTTTGAAATCTTTTTGAATTGAGTTTGCCTTCAAGGTTTTGAGAAAGTAGAGAAAGAAATGGCTTTCCTTTGAGATTTTGGTCGCTGGAGAAGAACACGAAAACGTGAAGAAATAGAAAAGGGGTAGGGGGGAGTGAAAGAAAGAGTAAAAAGTATTTTTCTGTGACTTTTAGTGTGTGGTACCTACTGATATGGCAGCTGACATGGACAAATTAATAGAGGGATTGGGTGCCACGGTTGAGGGCCGTTAGGGTTAAGGGCAATTCTAGAAAGTTTGTTAACGGTAGGGGTGGATTTGAACGAAAAGTATAACGGGGGATAAACTTAAACTATATACCATAGTAGAGAGGCAATTTTGGACCTTTTCCCTTATATTTACCTATTAATTGTTATTTTCGTGTCTCTATTTCATTTTCGTAAATTGTTAGGCTTACCTAGTCGTAGAGACTAGGTGCCGTCACGACAGTTCACGGAGGGAGAACTTGGGTCGTGACAGTTTATCACCAAGCTATAAGCTCTCAAATCATCAAGTATCCTTTCCTAAGCCAAATACATCATATATCTATATATAGAGAGAGAGAGAGTGTAGGGAAATAACTTTGTTTTTTAAATAAGAATAGTCTAGGGAAATAACTTAAGCAAGCCCATCTGGTATATACAGATGAAATGGGATTTAAAGTGAGCAACGTAAAAGATCTGGCCAAGCTAGGCATGTGCGGTTGCACAACATATTTGTGCGGTCTCTCTTCAAGCTCAAATTTAGTCCAGCGAGTGCCCAACTACATACCCTGGTGCGTGTGGTTGACAGCAGGTTGTGTGGTCGCACTTCCTCCTGAAATTGCAGACTGACGTTCATTTCTCCAAGAAAAGAACTTTGGTCAACACTAGGAACCTACAATGGCTTCCAATACCCTCGTCGACATGAGCCTTGGTATGAATGACTTAGCGGAATCCCTATCAGAGATAAACATGAAAATGGTGCAATTAACTTAGTCAACACATCATAAACTAAATGAATAAGAAATAGGAAACATATGTGAATGCTTTGCCTTCAGATAACGAAATAGTAACCAAACTAAGCAGTAAGCAAAACATGTTTTGTTTTCAAACTGTGTGCTGCTAGTAGTAAACAAAAGATGCACAGGTCTTCTGCATCCCAAAGAACATTTGCACTCGCTATGGAAACGGAATAGAACGAGTTGCACTTTTTAACCACCAATTTTAATATCATAACTACGCATAGCAACCAATTGTCATCCTTTCCTCACACTATTTCCATCAGATAGTACCTTTCATCACAAATGAACCTTATGATATTCCTTAGTCTCAAGTTTATCTGACCGTGCGACAAACAATGGTCTAAAATATGCTTAGATTTAACCCTTCTACGACATGCCAAAGATATCAAGATAAAACCAATGGGCGATCAGCGATCCCAACCATTTTTCTAAAAGAGCCTGTTTGAAAGCATTTCAACGAAGTAGATGCTTCACGTAATTCAGAAAGCAACATACAAATATCTACTTGAAAAGTAAACTCGAATTTATACAATCAGGCAATCCCAAAAGCAAGACAAGAATCTTCACTCTCAAAGTGAAGTTTCTTGACCTGATATATGATTAGGGAACAGAAAACTCATGAAAATTTCCATTATTAAATGAAGAGGTAAACCCCACCTCTGAAAGGACAAAAGAAAAACTCAAGATAGCCCAAACAGACAGAAAGATGTCTTTACCACCAACAAGCGCAACTTGCATGAGACAATCATGGTTTGTACAATACGAGTAAACTACCATAAATACCAGTACCCTTCATGGCGAAATTCAAAACTCTTATGACTACTGGCTTCCTCTAAGTGCCCTCAAAAGCATCTGTTTTCTGGCTTCAGAATCTCCAAAGATGCTCATAATGTCAGGCATCGGTTTGACCAGGACATGATCGTGTGTATAAAACAGGTGACTACAACAGTTCTACTGAGGCATCATTTCCTTCTGAGGAATCAGGAAAGCAAGACTGAATCACATCAACAATTCTACTAGTGCAGGCTTTTTTCTCAATATGAGCAGATATGAATATATAACCTTCCCGGATCTCCGATTAGTCAGAACTTTAAGTACCAACGGCTTCAACAAAGAGTGCTCTTTGTTTCGAAATGCTTAATCAGATAATGGCAACACAGCATCTAGTGTAAGAGTGGCATTGTCCCGAGATAAAAAAAACCACCAAACACACAACAATGACAACAACATACCCAGTATATTCCCACAAGTTGGGTCTGTGGAGGGTAATTAGTATGTACGCAGTCCTTACCCTTACCTCGCGAAGGTAGAAAGGCTGTTTCCGGAACACCCTCGGCTCAAAAAGAAAAAATCACAAACAGGGAAAAAAAAACATGGTAATGACAAAACAAATTAATTAGACTAGATAACAGCCAAAAGAAAGTTACTTACCTATTTAGAAACTGATAATATCTGTTCATTGGACGCTTTTCATGCATGATCCATGTAGAAGGGGTAGTTTATCCTTGTAAGGTAACACTATTTCTTTCATAAACCTCGATGGCGTCATGCAAGCAGCAGAGTACAACCCAAGACCTCTGTTGAGACGCTTGCCGTGTAAAATTTTCAGGACCTTATATCTAGGAATCACTCTCTTCTCCAAACTATACATTAACAGCTTAGGACGAGATGCTAAATACTCTGACGTGCAGCCAACTTCCTTCATGAGAAAAGTTAATTGTTTACAGATTTTGGCCTCCGATAAGCTTAAACAAAAAGGTAATTTTCTCGCCATGGTATTGATATGCGCATCAGACCAACCAAAACTCCTAAAAACATCAACCTTCTCTGCCAGAGTTGACTTACTAAAGGAACTAACGGCACTAATTCCATGGAGAAACATAGCCGATTCACGAGGGATTCCAAAGTCCGTTTCTACTCTATGAACAACATCCTCAAGCCATTCAGTTTTCCGCATCATAGTTCTTGGGTGGTGCAATATAAACTTCCTAAGTTTCAAATCCGAAAACCCAATATTTTGCAGCAACAATACATTAGGTGCCATTATCTTGGGAGCATTACAACCAAGTAACCAAGAAGCTTTTTTTATAGCCTGAACAACATCTTCATCACTACCCAATAAAGTTCTAAGGTATTCAAGTGAAGGTCTAAGAAAAGTATCTACACCTCTATCAAAAATATGAATATTTGCTTCTGCAAACTTAACTAAGTCAGATCCAGAAAAACCAATTTCTTGTAAAATCTCGAGTTTTGGTTTTAGGGTTTTGTCTACATTAGAGAAGAGTACTTTAGGGGACTTGGAGACAATGTTCTTAATTTGGGTATTATCGAAACCATTTTTTTCAAAGAAATTAATAACAAAATCAGGGTTTTTGGGGGGTTTCGAGCGGGTTACCTTGTTGCTTGTAGTGACTGCTTCTTCTCTTGAAAACCCGAGAGAATTAACAAGAAAGTCCACTAAGAAATGGGTTGGTGTAGTAGTAGTATTGGCATGGAGAAATCTGAAGGTGTAGATGGAGAAAATGTGTAGATTCTTGACTCCATTGACATGAATCCCAGTAATTCGAGCTAACATAGTTTTTAAAAATAATAATAACTCAAGCAGCACAGCATACGTTGGAAAACAGAATCAAGTCAGAGTATGTAAAGCTCGATTCAAGACCAGGTATATACCAGCTTGTTTGGATGGTTATTGCCTATTGTATTGTATGGTATCGTATTATTACTTCACTTATATTATTTTTTTTTTTTTGTTATTATTTAAATTTGGTGACAAGGGATTCAATTGAACCCGCTAAAAAATAATACTGCATATATGTTAATTATGATTAAAATTGCGTAAATTTTGTGTAAATATTTTATTTGAATCTACTTGACAACTATTATTTTACGACTAAAATTATGTACTTCTAAGATTGAACCCGCTTGTACAAAATCCTGGGTCTGCCACTGATTGTATGATTAAATGCCATTTTATATAATGATCAATTTGGTGTGATCGCCTATTTACCTTATTTTTTTTCCTCTCATTTTGTCCTTTTTATTATTAAATAATCATATTTTATCTTTTACATTTTATATAATAATTTTACATCATACCCTACTTTTTTTTGGTAACATTACAAGTGTATTTTTTTATAGTGCTGGTGCATGATATTATGAAATGACGATAAATTATACAATTTATCCAAAGTATCATCAAATCAATAAAGTATAATATAATATAATACGATACGATACATTATAAAACTGTTAGTAAACTATATTTGTAAAATAATTCTGGAGAAAATAAAATAACATAAACAGAAATGAAAAACAAAAACAGAATTAATCCAAGCCCATTGAATTCACAGTGTTTCCTTAAGGAATTTAATCCCCTCCTAGTACCCAAGGTTATGGATTATTTCCTCCCAGGATAGAACGAATTACACACTGGTGTAGTGGTACTTCAAACCCTAGTGTTTCAGCGAACACAAAGTTCGGTAGCAAATCACACTTACTGTTGCTTTCTTTGAAGTTAAAATAATGCAAAAGAAGGAGGAGAAACTCAGAAAATCGTATGGAAATTCTGAGCAGAATGGACTTGAGTCAAAAGGACTTGACCATCTCCGTAGATTTGTTCCCAACTTTCCCACGGTTGTAGCAATTTCCGTTGAACCACTTCTTGCTTGGGTTGCTTTTCGGTCCAGAAGCCTGCTTCCTCTTTCTCTTATTTTGAGAAGTATCCTCAACAATGTTTGCTCCCATTATTGTTGAGTTTCCACGGCCTCTCTTTTTATCAGCTTTGTTGTCCTCTTCGATTCTCAACCGAACAATGAGATCTTCAAGGGACATCTTGCCACGACCCGGATTTCCCACCCTCGGGAGTCGTGATGGCGCCTACTCGAGAAAGCTAGGCAAGTCGCGTATTATAGATTCGCTAACTCGTTTACTTTGTCCTTTTTAACAATTTAAATTGACATGCGATCAACCGTGAAATATTAACGGTAATAAAATACATGCGGAAGACGTATTCTGATAACTTAACCAAAAACTAGTACGACAATACCAACATACATCTCTACCTGGAATCCGGTGTCACAATATCACGGACCGTCTATGAATACTACATACAAATGTCTGGAAAGAAAGGTAAAATCTGTCTCTAGAGTAATAAAAACAGAATACATATGAAGATAGAAGAGAACGCCGGGCCTGCGGACGTCTGCAGGGCTACCTCGGGATCTCTAGCTGGACTGAAGGCTGCCACCCAAAGCTATGGTCCAAAAGCTGTCACTCCGGGATCTGCACATAGTGCAGAGTGTAGTATCAGCACAACCGACCACATGTGCTGGTAAGTGCCTGGCCTAACCCCGGCGAAGTAGTGACGAGGCTAGGACCAGACTACCAAATAAACCTGTGCAGTTTTATACTATGCAGCGGAAAATAAAACAGAAATAAACAAGTAAAGATGGGAGGGGAGTACATGCAGCGGGGGAATATCAATACCAACAGTAACTTAAGAGAAAGTCATAAGGACAATTTAGAATTTAACGCAAAACAGTAAGGAATTCGTAACCAATCCATAAACACTTTATATTATCAATTGTTGCGGCGTGCAACCCGATCCCAAAACATAACATCACTGTTGCGGCGTGCAACCCGATCCAATTATATAGTTGTTGCGGCGTGCAATCTGACCTATTTATATCATTGTTGCGGCGTGCAACCCGATCCAAATATAATCTTATTGCGGCGCGCAACCCGATCCACATATATGTTTCAACACCAATCATAACAAGGGCCCCCGCAAGGGACCAATAAGGAAACAACACTATCCCGGCAAGGGAATCGACAGTATAAGTAACTACGTCCCGGCAAGGGAAAAATCTGTTATAACCAAACTTGTTCCAACATCTAAATACCTCAACTAGCACCAATACTCAATCATAAATAATCTCCACGAGAATAATCATAAACCTTGCTCAACACAGAGAATCAACAACTTAGGCATTCGTAGTATTTATCAAGAACACAAAAATTTCAATTTAAGACCCACGGTCATGCTTGACACCGACGTATAGATACTCGTCACCATGCCTATACGTCGTACTCGACAAGTAACACGTAGCAAATAGGACACAACTCCTAATCCCTCAAGCTAAGGTTAGACCAAACACTTACCTCAAACTTTCACGGCTAACTCAAGCCTCAAACACCGCCTTTCCTTTAGAATCCACCTCCGAATTACTTGTATCTAATTCAAATTAATATAACAACATCAATAAATGCTAAATAATCCAATCCCAAGACTAAATTATAAGCTTTCCATCATCTTTCTCAAAAGTCAAAAATTGACCCCGGGCACACTTGGTCGAAACTCGAGGTTCAGACCAAAACCCGTTCGCCCATTCACCCACGAGCCCAAATATGCAATAAGTTTTGAAATCCGACCCCAAAACGAGGTCTAAATCCCAATTAATCAAGAAACCCTAACTCTACCCAAATCCCCGATTTTCTACCATTAAAACCCTGGTATTATTGATAAAAGTTGATGAAAAACATTAGATAGTTGAATGAAATCAGTTAATGAATACTTACTTGTGATTTGGGAAGAAAATCTCTTGAGAAAATCGCCCTAGTTCTTCTATTTTTGTGAAAGTTTAAAAGAAAAATCGCTGAAGTTATGTTTTAAAAGACTCACTGCCCGACTTCCGCACCTGCGGTGCCTGGGTCGCACCTGCGAGACCGCACGTGCGAAAAACTGCGCTTCTGCGGAAATGACTAGGCCCGCTGGGGCCGCATCTACGAGAAAAGGAACCGCTCCTGCGGAACCGCATCTGCGGAAGATTGTCCGCATCTGCGAGACTGGACCGCACCTGCGACCCACTGTGCGCACCTGCGAGCTCGCACCTGCGGTGCTCGACTCGCAAGTGCGGTTACACCAGAACTGATGCAACAGCAGTGTTTTCCTAAGTTTAAACACCCTGGAACCTACCTGAAACTCACCCGAGCCCTCGGGGCTCCAAACCAAACATGCGTACTAACTCAAAAACATCATATGAACTTATCCGTGCGATCAAATCGCCAAAATAACCTTTTAAACAACGAATTTAGCATAGAAATCTAAGAAAAATCTCAAAACTTTCAAAGTAGGAATTTTCACAACTACGGGTCCGAATCACCTCAAACGACTTCCGTTTCTTACCAAATTTCACAGACTTATCTTATTTCACATATAAGACCTGTATCGGGTTCCGACACCAGAATACGGGCCCGATACCATTAAATTTTTAACTCATTTCATTTCTAAAACTCATAAATAATTCCATAAAATAATTTTCTTTAAAAATTCATTTCTCGGGCTTGGGACCTCAGAGTTCGATTCTGGGCATATGCCCAAGTCTCATATTTTCCTACGGACCCTCCGGGACCATCAAATCACGGGTCCGGGTCCGGGTCCATTTACTCAAAATGTTGACCGAAGTCAACTTAAGTTCATTTTAAAGTCAAAATTCATTATTTTTCACAGATTTTCACATAATGGCTTTTCGGCTATGCGCCCAAACCGCACACGCAAATCGAGGTGATGTTGAAAGAGGTTTTTAAGGCCTCGGAAAGCAGAATTTATTTTTAAAACAAGTGATGACTTTTTGGGTCATCACACATCTCCTTGCGTTTATGTTTCAAGTAGTTTTTGAAGTCCTTCCACAGAGGAGGCAACTTCTCAATCATCGCTGCTACTTGGAATGCTTCATTGATGACAAGACCTTCAATGAAAATTATGTTAGTAAAAATACTAAGATTGCTACTTTCAACATCAGTATTAATTTGATTTATACCTTCAGCAAGGAGGTCGTGAATAATCACTTGCAATTCCTGGACTTGGGTAATAACAGACTTGCTATCTACTATTTTGTAATCCAAAAACTTGGCGGCCACGAATTTCTTCAACCCGACATCTTCAGTTTTGTATTTCTTTTCAAGCGCAGTCCACAATTCTTTTGACGTCTTCACGCCAATGTAGACATTATACAAATCGTCCTCCAGTCCGCCAAGAACATAATTCTTGCACAGAAAATCAGAATGCTTCCACGCCTCAATCATGAGAAGGCGTTCATTCTCTGGAGTTTCTTCGGGCAGAACACGAACATCTTCTTTGATTAACTTCTGCAGACTTAAAGTAGTCAAGTAGAAGAACATCTTCTGCTGCCACCGCTTGAAATCTAACCCGGAAAATTTTTCGGGTTTCTCCGCCGGTGCCAACGCCGGTGTTCGGCTTGTTGATGCATTGGCAGTCACCATTGGAACAGTCTAGTTCCCGTTATCATTAGTCATTTCTGTAAAAGAATGACACAAACAAACGTTAAAATCACGTAGATTTTAATCTCCAACGGAGTAAAAAACCACAAAGGTTTTAAACTCCAAAACAGTGAATATAACACAAATACAAAATACAAATTCAAATTCCTTAAGCTTATTAGTAAACTGTATTTGTAAAATAATTCTGGAGAAAATAAAATAACTTAAACAAAAATAAAAAATAGAAACAGAATTTAATCCGAGCCCACTGAATTCACAGTGTTTCCTTAAGGAATTTAATCCCCTCCTAGTACCCAAGGTTATGGATTATTTTCTCCCAGGATAGAACGAATTACATACTGGTGTAGTGGTACTTCAAACCCTAGTGTTTCAGCGAACACAAAGTTCGGTAGCAAATCACACTTACTGTTGCTTTCTTTGAAGTTAAAACAATGCAGAAGAAGGAGGAGAAACTCAGAAAATCGTATGGAAATTCTGAGCAGAATGGACTTGTATTTATAGCCAATGTTGGGCTGAAATCTGAAGAGGTGCAACTCTTCAGAATGGTTGTTTATGCGAAACGACCACAGCATAAATGTCATAACATAAATGGCTATTTACTCAACAATAAAGAGGGAAAATTGAAGAGGGTAGTTTAATTTCAATCAATCGATCATTTGACCGAAGCCGAAGCCGAAGCCGAGCGAGCGAGCGAGCGACGGCGCGAGGCTTGGCTTCTTCTCTAACTCTTTAAGAGCTAGAAGAAGAGCAATTGCTTATATACCCATAAAAACCTCTTCCTCTTCCAATATAGGACAATGTTCCTTCATCAAGGGGACCTTAAAATTCCACTCAAAAATTTCATTTCCCTCCATTTACCATTCACCCTATTTTAAGCCTCATTAATGCTTAAAACCCCAACAAAAATGATGTGTAACAACCATCCAAACAAGGTGCGCACGTGTTATTTAAATATTTCATAAATTTCAACTATATTTTGAATAGGGTTGAAAAAATTACATGTTTTATTTATTACTCCTATTACTATGAGGTTTAAGTAATTAACCGAACTTTCTCTCACCATGAGGTAAGATGGAAATTGATTGTCTGTTTTTTGGCGTCCAACTTCAGTTTTTTTATTTATTTTTAATTTAGTTAATTATAGTGCTCAAATTGAACTTTAACTAAAACACAATTCATAAAATCAAAACACTTAAGTATTGGTAATGCACGCACTTTTTTTCTTCAAATTTTACATAAAATAACACATAAATCCATACATAAGATACAAAATCATATCAACAGTTTCAAAATTTTGTGTCATAAACATTGGAGCTCTAACATTTTGCTATTTCTAACCCTTTTCAATTTTAGAAGAGAAAAGCTTTATTATACTGTACTTTTGAAAGAAAAAGAAAAAAAAGGAAAGTTTGAACCTTCTCAAACCATGCTAGTTCGAATATCTAAATTTCGACATATTGGCAAGAACGCCTACCTCTTCACTTCAGTGAGATATTCTACAGATGAAGCAATTTCTACCACCACCAAGGTAACCCCTCTTGAAATCTTCGAAAATTTCCAGTTTTTTTTTTGCAGAAAATATTGTTTAAGCAATACCCATTTCGATAAATTTATGTATCTGGATATTTTTTTTGTCTCTTTTGCTGCTATGATTTTACATATCAAAGTGTTATCTTAGGCGCCTAGATTTTCTTACTTATATTTTATATTAAAATACTAGTAATTTTTTTTAGACAAGTGTTTTGTGGTGATGAAAAATGTGGTTATAGCTAGAGAGAAATGTGCTCAAATGCTTTTATCTTATGATACCAAAAGAATCAAACTTAGTATACTTTTTTCGCCAAAAGAGTGCTGAAAATATAGAGTGAGAAGGAGTTGAACAAGAAAAAGAAGCCCTATGTGTTGCAGAATCATAGTTTATACAGGAATTCCCCTGCCTTTCAAGGATAATGCACCTATTTGTATGAATAATCCAAGAAAAGAGTGAATAAAATTTTTCCTTCGCTTTGTGCAGTTCACCACATTTTTGTTCGCTAGTTTCTTTGACTGGTTAAGAAACTGAGAGGATGTAGTATAGAATGTTTTTTGGTGCTAAGACAAATGAGGCGATTTACCAAACAAGTAGTTATAAGAATAAATTTGAGCAAATTAACTTACCAATCACTTAAAAAGAATCTGCAGAATCATGTAGATATAGAAGCACTAGGTCCCAAAGCTACTTGTTACAGTAATCCTTTCAAAATGGAGAACATATGAGGGGCATCAAATATATTGTTATTTTCCTAGCTAGTAGCCATTTTACCAAGTTTAGTTTGAAAGAAGACCTTTTCTAACCTATCTTGATTAGGGTACTTAGCGTACCAATATGATGTTTAGTCATCTCCGTTTGCTGCTTTCCCTTTTGACAAATCACATATTATTTGTAGCTCATGAGACCTTTCTGGTAGTGAAGTTTGAGACTCCCCTGTAATATGGTTCAAGGAGTTACAAGTTTGTGCTCTACAAGTAAACATGAAGTTGGAATGCATAACGTCTTGTTTCATGGTCTAAATCTGCATGTTTATTTTTATTATTATCATTTGTCAATGCAATGTTGTAATCTGATGAAACTATTCTTGCTTAAGTGTCTTAGTTAAAATCATTTTATGGATAGAATCAAATTTGGTGCTCAACACCCTTTGCGTCTGCTCCTTTTCAGAACCCTTTCTTGTCAGACTACCTCATCAAATTACTGGGATTCTCTAGAGATGAAGCGAATTCTGCAACTGCCAAGTTAAACAGCATGAAACCCCCTAAGAGTCCTGATTTGGTAATCAAATTCTTTCAAGAGATTGGTTTAGAACGGACAGAGATCAAGAAGTTAGTTTCTATTACCCCACAGCTGCTTTTTTCTGATGTAAACAGGACTCTTAAACCCAAATTTCAGTGTCTACTAGAATCTGGGTTGTCTGGATCCGACCTAGTAAATCTCTTCAGATCGGACGCACGAGCTCTATTTCGAGGAGTAGATTCTCATTTCAGGCCTAGTTTGGAGTATCTTAGGAAACTATTTAGTAGTGAAGAATGTTTGGTTAAAGCTATAAAGAAATCACCTTGGTTACTTGCTCCAAATGGTCCAAAACAAATCAATCCCAAAATATTGTTGTTGCAAAGGTTTGGTTTTTCAAATCCCAAAATCGAGAAGCTTTTAGTTCAGAAACCACGGGTAGTTTTGCAAAAAACTGGGTGGCTGGAAGAGAAATTGCACAGAGTTGAAAAGGATCTACAGATTTCTCCCAAATCTGGAATGTTTTTCTATGGAGTTATTGCACTTGTTTCAGTTAGTAACTCAACAGTGAAAAAGAAAATGGGAATTTTCCGGAGTTCTGGATGGTGTGATCTGGATATAATGACTGTGTTCAGAAAGCAACCTCTCTGTTTGGTTACGTCGGAAGCTAAAATTCAGCGAGCATTGGACTTTTTCACGGGGGAACTCGGATACAAACCGGAACACTTGGTTTGTAATCCTGCGGTTCTAATGCTTAGCTTGGACAAGAGAGTGATTCCTAGAAATGATGTACTGAAAGTTTTAGAGGAGAAGAAGCTGAATCAGAAAGTATCTTTTTTGAGAGCTTTGCGTCTATCTGAACGTATGTTTCGTTCAATATTTGTGCTTCCTTACAAGGAGGAGGTACCTAATCTATATGAGTCATATATGACTTCCGTGAGACGTTAGAGACACAACGCTCAAATGAGGTGTGATTTTCATCTTTATGGTTCATATCATGTCTTTCTGTTTTCCTGTTTTCTATTGAATTTTGTTCTTTCAGGTTGTAGTCAGACTCACTAATCTGCTGGATTCTAATTTACTGAAATGAGCTATATATAATAATGAAAAAACCCGGAATGGGGAATACTAGCTAATAAACTCTTGCCCCCAGTTCAAATTATTTGGGTTTGGGGTGTTTGACATCAATAATGCCTGTTTGACTCGGGACAATTTGCAGAAAAGAGGCTACAGTTTGTGGAGTGTGCAATAGGTGTTACCTTTGTGAAGAAAGCAGGAACCAGTGAATCATCTCGCCCTTCTTTGCAGAGTATCTAGACAATGCTGGGATCTATTTTTCAGCATCTGTGGTATTTCTTGGGTGATGACTATATATAGGATGATTTTGGTTTAGGATAGGAGACTTTGATGATTTGAGAGCTTATCGCTTGGGGATAAACCTTCTTGTTCTTGATGGACACCAAATGTTGCTATTGAAGTAGAGCAAACTCCTTGTAGTAACCACTCTAACCTGTATTAGTTTGAAAAATATAATAGTAAGTTTCTCCTTATTTTACTCGAGCCGAGGGTCTTTCGGAAACAGTCTTTTTGCCCTCCCGGGTAGGGGTAAGGTGTGGGTACACATTACCCTCCCCAGACCCCACTTGTGGGATCCCACTAGGTGGTTGTGAAGTCCGTAACTCCCAATTAACATGGATATTGTTGATCCTAACTCATCATAATCTTCCCAAATATACGGTGTCACACTTCCTTTTTTACACACCCGAAATAGTATAAGGGAGTTTTTTCACTTTAACTGACATTATTCGAAATGAGATCATTTTGTTTTATTCAGAGTCGCCACTTGGAATATTTTATCGGTGTCCCAAGTCACCGGTTTATTTTAAATCCCAAATCGAGGAAGTTCGACTTTCCTTTTAAAGTCTGCGAACCAGAAATTCTGAATAAGGAATTCTGTTAACCTGAGGGAAGTGTTATGCACCCCCGGATTCCGTGGTTCTAGCACGGTCGCTTAAACTAATATAATTGGCCTATTATCTGATTTTAATACATGTTTTAACCTATGGTACCTTTTTAACTCTAAAACCGCTTTTAATTATTTTAAGGAAGATATTAACGTCATCTAAAACACGTCTTTGGACCGCGCCACATGAAATGCACCCGCAGTCCGAGACACATTTTATTTAACGTTGTTGAGATTTGGATTTGGGTCACATGAAATGCACACCCGAGTTTAGGAAGGTAATTTTAAATTACGCGCCTGAAGCGACTACGCATTTTTTCAACTTTGCGAGGGCCATGGAAAATTCGACTAAATGGCACGCCTCGATTTCTAAGGACTTAGATATTCAAGATCAATGACATGAGGGCCGTGCATTTTGAGATTTATTTGGCACGGCACGCCTCCAATTGTTTCAAAGGGTTTTATTATCTGAAGTTGTTATAATCGGGTCGCATGAAAGAATTTCTTATCCACCAGCTTCTGTCACTCAATTCAACAAAGCATCCTACATTCAACATTTCGTAATTGGTCATCACATGTATACAACAAATTGACTTAGCAACAAGAATTCGAGCAGCCCCTTAATCTAATAATCTAATAATCTAACAATAAATGGCAAAACAACTAACAATCAGTCATAAACAAACAAGACATGACAATATAATATTAAAAAGATAACAAATATATTACTACTACTCAAATTTACAAAGGCAAGAAGTTAAAAGCGAGAAAACAGAACTGACCCAACGAAAATGTAACAGGAATACTCACGTTTACAGCAACGTCGAGTTTCAGCAGCTCGAACTCGACGGAAAAAATGGACAGCGATAACCATAGACTGGAATCAACGTACGACAACCTCCACACGACTCAAACTCACAAACGACTCCAGACTTCAGTTAAACATCCATGTTTCGGACACTAAGAATCAAATCAAGGACGAGGAAGACGAAGCATTTTTTTGTACTGTTTTCGACTTTCTGAAATCTCAAACCTGACTTACGCTCGTTCCCTCACTCTGTTCATGTGCGTGACTGTGTGTGTGCTCGATCTGATGGTGTTTACTGGTTTTCCGGCGAGTTCTGATGGCGGGAGTGGCGTTCGCCGGTGGAGTTGGGTGAGAGTCACGACGGAGAAAGGTGTTGTAGGTTGAAGAAGATGATGAAGAAAGGTCAGCTGATTCGTGTGCGTTTGGTTACTGCTGTAGGAACTGGATGTAATGGTTGCTGCTTCTGTTCGTCGAATGAAGAAGAAGAAGTTCAGGGGGTCGTTTTGTTTCTGCTCCAAATGCGGCTGATTCTAAAGGGGTCTAGGTCTTCTCCATGAAGAAGATGATGGAATTCATATGGTGGAGGGGTCGTTTTTCACTGTTTCGGCGCTACTGTATCTTAGGCGTTTGTGGTGTCTGTTTATATTTTAGGTGTAGGTACTATTGTATAGGGATAGAGATTAGGTTAGGCATATGAGCTTAGCGATTATGGGCTAGTGAACTGGGCCAAAGACTAAAAAAAAATGGACTACAAGATTTATAAAGACGGGATAAACCAACCTAAAACTAATTCCTCCTTCTAAAATTATGTACAATTATAATATAAAAATATAAAACGAATTTTAATTAATTGAACTAAACTATAAAACATAAAACTATTTTTTGTGTTTTCAAGATTATATAAAAATAAAGATAAGGTACTATTTTTGTATATTTTTTATTTAAATTTACCAAAGATACGTAAACTAAAATATTTTTTTGTAATTTTCATTTTTGTGACGAAATAAAGTAAAAGAGTAAAAATTAGTTGAAATAGCTATATTAGGCCTAGATTAAATATTTACGTGCTAAAATATGAAAAATCTTGGGGAGGGTCAAAAATTACATGTCTACAGCTGCCCCTCTTTGACTGGAAACGCGAAGAGTTTTCAGACAAAGAATGACTAGAAAGATTTTTTGACCCGACCCTTATTTAGAAAGGCCAAAAGCTAAAAGAAAGTAGAATGTGACCGAGCGCTGGTATCTGAGCTGCCAACATATCCTTGGCTATAAAGGAAGCAGGCCACGTGTAGTTCAGAAGTGAATGAGGTGATGGAGTACCGAGGTTGAGAGCCGAGCGAGGTGCCGTCGAGGTTCCGGTCCGCGGTCCCGTTATTACATCAAAATCAAAATATGAAAAAGACTAACTAAGCCTATCAGCTACGAGTTACAAGATTCCTATCTATGAGTCTTCTGAAGCTTGACCTTGAATCTTGGTTGGTTCTTCATGCGGACCCTGATCTGAATCTTGATGCTTGTTAGCTGCAGGTGCTGGTTCTTTCTTCTTTAGCTTTTCGGATCAAGGCGGGACATGCGAAGCTTGTGACTTCAATTATATCTTGAGCAGTCCGCATCTTTCTCCGCTTCTGGATTTTGAGTTTACTTCTTTTTCTTTTCTTCTTTTTCTTTATTCTGGATTGAGACTCATTCTTTTGGTCATCTCGAACCCTGTGTCTCGAGGTAAAACCTGCTCAGACACCAAAAACAAACAAACGAAATTTTCTGCCCCAGTTTTCACTAGGAAAATTTCGTGAGTTATTTGTAGCTAAAATCTAAACTTTTTTTTTAAGTGATAAAATAAGGATTGTGTATCTTTAGGAGGAAAGATTAGGGAATAGCGCCCTATATCTAAAATTCTCAACTAGGGAATGGAGGCCCTATGTTGGCAACAAAGGCGACTAGGGAATGGAAGCCCTATGTCTAAAAATCTCAACTGAGGGATTAGAGCCCTAATGTTGGCAAAAAAGGTGACTAGGGAATGGAGGCCCTATGTCTAAAAATCTCAACTCAGGGATTAAAGCCCTGATGTTGGAAAAGATTACCAGGTTATGCTGGCATCAACTAGGGAGTGAGACCCTAATGTTGAAAAAGCAGACTACTGAATTTTGTACCTATGCTAAAATGAATCAAGAAGGATTTTTTTTGAGAAAATCATTCTTTTAAAAAAATTGCCCCAGCGCCCCTTTTTTTTTTCAAATTATCCTAGGAAAAAATTCGTCAGACTAGGTTTTCTATCTTAGGAGAAAGATTCATCATACGAAGATTTCTATCCTAGGAGAAAGTTCATCAGACTAGGTCTCTTTTCTTATCTTAGGAGAAAAATTCATCAGACTAAGATTTTGATCCTAGGAGAAAATTCATCAGACTAGGTCCACTTTTGTTATCTTAGAAGAAAGATTCATCAGACTAAGATTTCTATCCTAGGAGAAAGTTCATCAGACTAGATTTTCTATCTTAGGAGAAAAATTCATCAGACTAAGATTTCTATCCTAGGAGAAAATTCATCAGACTAGGTCCATTTTTGTTATCTTAGGAGAAAAATTCATCAGACTAAGATTTATATCCTAGGAGAAAGTTCATCAGACTAGGTTTTCTATCTTAGGAGAAAGATTCATCATACTAAGATTTTGATCCTAGGAGAAAGTTCATCAGGCTAGGTCTTTTTTTTTTGCATCCTAGGAGAAAGATTCATCGGACTGAGATTTGATCCTAGGAGAAAGTTCATCAGACTAGGTCTTCTATCTTAGGAGAAACATTCATCAGACTAGGGCTTCTATCTTAGGAGAAAAATTCATTAGACTAAGATTTCTATCCTAGGAGAAAGTTCATCAGACTAGGTCTTCTATGTTAAGAGAAAAATTCATCAGACTAAGATTTCTATCCTAGGAGAAAGTTCATCAGACTAAGTTTTCTATCTTAGGAGAAAAATTCATTAGACTAAGATTTTGATCCTAGGAGAAAATTCATCAGACTAGGTCCCTTTTTTTGTTATCTTAGGAGAAAAAATCATCAGACTAAGATTTCTATCCTAGGAGAAAGTTCATCAGACTAGGTCTTTTGTCTTAGGAGAAAGATTCATCAGACTAAGTCTATCTTAGGAGAAAAATTCATCAGACTAAGATTTTGATCCTAAGAGAAAGTTCATCAGACTAGGTCTT